TAATGGAAATTAAATATCTATTTAAAGCAGTCGAGCGCAAAGCAACCTAATCCTTTTACCCACCGCTACAACTTTTAGAGTTGATTTCATAAAGTCGCTTAATCCCGCTTTCGTCAACTCATCATCGTCCATCACCAAAGCGCGTCGCATCCATCAACAGCTGTCAACGCAGACACTTTTATTGGACCAGCTTGTATAGAAATAAACCACGGCTGTCTACTTGGGTTGCAGGTGTAACGTTTAAAAGCGCCTAAAACGCCACTAAGCCTTTAATGAGATGTGCAGTAGAGCGCTGCGCGACAGCAGGAGGCAAGCAATGTAAGCACGCTTTTAGCAGAGTAACCACAAAAATTAAAAAAAAAAAAAATTAAATAAAACCACAACCCCACAACAACTTAATTAGCCGCCAGCAGCAACAAAATGGCAAAGAAGAGCGCACAACAAAAGGATGAGGCGAGCAGAGCAACGCCTGCGTAAAGGCTGGCAGAGCACGTGTGTTGGGGGGAGGACGTTCGCAAAGCGTTTTGGCAAAATGGCGCATTTCATGTGTAAAATTAAATAGCTGCGAGAGTGGCGCTTCACTCCACGCTTCATAGCTTGTTTTGCGGTTTGCACCAAAACCCAAACCCCCCGCCAAGTCTGTTGGCCAAGCAGGTGTCAGCTGACAGGCGCTTGCTCACTCTCCGCAAACAGCGTTTATCTCTTTCACACTTGCATTATATGCCTAGCGCGTAAGGGAAATTTTCATATGCTCTTGAAGGTAAATTTCCCTACTTTCAAACGCGCCTTGCTGAGGGTTTGTGTTGATTTCCTTAAGTTTAATGAAAGGTTTAATGAAGTGATTGATTGATGATTTCTTTTGGTTACGTTGCAATGAACTTAAAATAAAATGCAAGAAATTAAAATTTAAATAAAATAAAATTATACCTTTTGCAGTCCAAGTTACGCCGTCGGCGAAAGCAATTCCTGCGAGAACTGCTTACTTGCTACCTTGCATAAATGGCTGCAGTAACTTTTTCCACAATAATCTTTAAGTTAACAACCTGTGTGACAGCCTAAAATCGTAGTAGAATTTATAAAAAATAATAATTTACTATAAATTTGTGTTGATTTGCACGATATATTTATATGTTTAAAATACGTAATAAAATTTTGAAAAAATATTAAATATTTTTTTATTATATACGCGATCTCAACGGCGCTAAAACGAAGGTTCTCCACTGCTGCAGTGATTCCGGCCTCTCCGTGGATGAAACCTACAAATAAAAATGCTCGTTAACATCAAGCTATTCTCCGTACAAAAACAAAAAATAAAAATCAATAATCCACAAATGAGGCGTTTAAAAAATTAATTTTATAAAATTTGTTAAATTATACCTAAGTGAAGAATTTCAAAAAAAATATTTCATATTTTCAAAGTTAACTATTTAAGAATATGTTATCAGAAGGATTTTGAAATTTTAATTATTTTCGAGATATAGACATTTTACTGACCCGGCCTCCAAACTGGTGCGGCTGGATCTAATCGAACAAAAGACTTAACGCGAAGCTTTAAATGCGTTTATCTCAACCAGACTTTTTCAATACGGATACCCCTTTCTCGAGTTCTACTGGACCGATTTTCTTGAAATTTTCAGAGAATCTTTTTCATGGACCTCTCTCGAAAATTCATTAACAATTCAACTATTGAAAAATACGAGAAAACAAAAATATTGGTAACAAAAATCGTTTTTTCAAAAGCCGCCATTTTGTCAAAAAAAATTGCAATTGCGACATCATTGCAGATTGGTAATCTTTTTTTCATTGACTAGGAGGGTTTGCTCATGTGCCAACTTTTTGAGACCCCCACTACATCAGCTGCCAGTTTTTAAATATTTAACTTTTGTTTTTGTTTTTTTTTCGTACTCTTGTAACATAATAAATAAATAACCGATAAAAAATCAATAGTAAAAATATTGTTTGCCTTTTTTACGACACTTTAAAACTTCCTAAAATTCATGTCTCTAGACTAGAATATCCCTTATAGAATTTGACTAGTAATGTTACTTCTTAAACTTCATCGTACAATTTTTCATGTAAACACAGCATTCATAAGTTTTCAGCGAAATAACGGTGCTTCACAATTTTCCTTTAATTCCCTCACCGGCTTTAAATTGTGCCACAGTGTTGCGTAGCTTCAAAATCCTAAATTAAATTTGCATAAAAATAATTTATTTTAAAATTTAAAAACACTTATTTCACATGAGTTTAGTTGTAAACACATACAAACTGCGATTTTTTGTTTAAATTTTATTAATTCTTTCTTGTTAATTATATAGTTAATTATATTATTGCTATTTGAGTTTATATTTACGAATTATTATATATACGGTATTTTGTTTTAGTAGTTTTAACCTATTTCTTGTTTTTTGTTTTTGTAGAATTCGCATAGTCTGGTTAGCGCCTTAAGACTAGTGATTACAAAACTAATTTAAAATGTTTTTTTTCGTTTAAATATTAAAATTTTTTAACTACAAACTAATGTGTATAAACTCAAATATTGCCACGAACAGCGGATAAATAGAATTTTGCTGTTCGGTTTGTAAACTTTAAAAACTAAATTTTTATTTTTATGTATAATAGAGCGTGACTGGAAAAACAAGCCACAGAAGAAAGAATAAAATTGTTAAAATTCACAAAATTAAAGTGTAAAGGTTTATTGTAAATAAATAAATAATTTCGACTAAAATTAGTAACGTAATATTTGGAAAAAGTGTATAAAGTATATATTGTAAAATGTAAAATAAGAAAGCAAACTTGGGAAGACTGAGATGATAATTCACGCACTGTGTGCAATTATTACTTTTTAGTTCGAAGCAATTTCTTTTTCAAAATTATTAAGAATTTGAAAATTGTATATGAAGAAAAGAGGAATAGTTAGTTATAAATGAGCAGTTCAAAGAAGTCCAAATGAAAATAAAGAATAAAGTTGGGAAGAAATATCAAAATAATAAAAATATAACTTAAAAATACAAACAGATAAGAAAAAAAAAAAAATTAAATAACAAAAAAATTAAAATAAAAAAAATTAAATAAAAAATATTAAAATAAAAATAAATAAAAATAAAAAATATTAGAATAAAAAAAATTAAAATAACAATAAATAATTGAAAAAAAATTAGAAACCTAAAACGTAAAATATTTAAATATAAAAATATAATAGTTCAAAATGTATAATTTTGAATCAAGAATTACATAAAAATATACATATGTATGTTTAAAATTTGATTTAACTATATATGAAACATTATAATTTCATATAATAAAAATTTCATACAAAAATATGTAATTACAAAAAAGAGTTAAATCAAAAAATAATAAAAAAACATATAAATAAATAAAAATATTTAAAAAACAATATTAAAACTAAAATTATTTAGAAAATAATAAAAATATATCACAAAAAATTATTATTTGAAAAAATATTTAGAAACCGCGAAACGTTAACGTTTAACTTATTAAAAATTTTATTTTAAATAAAATTGCATAAAAAATAATTACAAAATAAAACTAACAAACAAAACAAAAGCTAAACATAACAAAACAAAAAAAAAAAAAAACAAAATATTAAAATATGAATTTAAAAATATAAAATTTTTATAAAATAAATTTTAATAAAACTAAAACTAAAAAAACTACTAAATAACAAATTAAATAAACAAATATTAAAATTAATTTAAAATATATAAATTTTTATAAAATAAATTTAATAAAAACAAACTAAAAAAACTACTAAATAACAAAATATTAAAAAATGAATTTAAATAATATAAAATTTTTATAAAATAAAATTTAATAAAAACTAAACTAAAAAAAACTAAATAACAAAATTAAATAAACAAAATATTAAAAATGAATTTAAAAATATATAATTTTATAAAATAAAATTTAATAATTTTTCAAAAAGTTTGTAAAATTAACACCACAATTTTAAAATTAATGAGAACATTTTACATAAAAAAGTGTAGCATAGATTTTTCATAATTTCTGCTTCCTTTCAAAATATACATAAATATGTATGTACATTTGTATATATTTATGTGTACGTATAATACTTTTTTTTTGCTATATTTCGTTAAACTTAAAATGTTTGGAAGTGAATTTTTGAAACGCTCAATAAACACGCTTTAAATTAGAGACAATTTCAAAAATTTTGAGTGATATTCTTTGTTACTTTTTTTTTTCACTTGAGCATAACCCAATATTCGTTATTTTTACGCTTAGATTGCTAGTGTAATGCATTTCACAGTAAACTCTTATATTTTCCTAAGATAATTACTAAGATTTTTGTTGAAAAAAAAGTAAAATAAAAAAAATATATATTTAAAAAAATATATATATAATATTAAAAAAATTAATATATTTAAAAAAAATATATATTAAAAAAAAAATTATATACATACATATGTATATTAAAAAATATATACATACTAAATAAAAGAAATAATATTTTTAAAAAATTTCGAAAGTTAAATTAAAAAAAAATTTTTCTATTTATTTTTTTAAGGAAGAACTTGAAAAAACTCAACGGAATTGAATATATAAAAAATAAAAAGAGAAAAAAATAGAAAACTTAAATTTTTACATTTATAAAATTTGAAAACTTAAATATTTAGATTTATGAAATTTGAAAACATAAATTTTTAAATTTATAAAAATTGAAAATTAAAATTTTTGCATTTATAAAAATTGAAAACTTAAATTTTTACATTTAAAAATATTAAAACTTTAAATTTTTACATTTATAAAATTTTAAAACTAAAATTTTTATATTAATAAAAATGGAAAACTTAATTTTCAACATTAATAACAATTCAAAACTTTAATTTTTACAATTTTTTTCGAATCATTTTAAGTATTTTTCATTTTTTATATTATTATTACTTTTTACGAGTATATTCTTTTTCTTTTTTTGTTTTCTACTTCCTTAAAATATGTACAATTAAAAGAAAAAAACCGCATTTGCCAAAACCAACCACCATCAGTTGCGCCACATATTTTCGTATAATATATTTTTTACACTTAATGTTATCATACATATGTATGTATGTATGTTAATTACTTAAACGCTCATTTTATATATTTCTTTCTTTCCTGCTAACATTTTCTTGCGGCATTTAGCGTACACCTAGTATACGCCCTACAGACGTCACTGCACACATTGCAATAACAAAATAAATGAAACGTAATTACAATTAATGAATTAAAAATTAAGTTAAAGCCTTAAATATTACACAAGCAGCAATGATTGCTTAGAAGAGAATATGCATTTAAACACGAAATTGAATTTATAACCTTAAATAAAAAAAACAGTTGTTGTAAAGCGATTCAGTTGTTAAGCTGACGCCGCCGCTGTCGTCTCTATTTGGTCGGTATGAAACGCGCCTTCACTTGATGGGCCAGCAATTGGTGTTGTTGTTGCTGTTGTTGATGCAATTGCTGTTGCTGTTGTTGTTGCTGCTGCTGTTGCATATGTTGGCTTAGCTGTTGTTGTATAGATAAGCCGCTGGCATTGCTGATGACATGCTGATTGTGTAGCGGCTCGTTAATCTCAACTTTGATGGGAGGATTTAGCGGTTCTTTGTTCTTGCGCGGCCGGCCGCCTGAAAAACAAATGAAATCAAGAAAATAACTTTTATTTTTGGCAGCTATAAAAAAATATTGCAGAGGACAGTGAGCGTTAAAAAACTGTATTTGAGGTGAGAAGAATTAGTGAGAGCATTAAAACCGAAAATATTAAAAAAAAAAAAAAAAAAATTTTATAAAAATACGAAACAGCGGAAATTTACAGAAAATATAGCCTTAGTTGGAATTGCAGACAGCAGTGTTGAAAAATTATAATTAAATACAATAAGTTCGTGCAAGATTGCAGGGTAAAAGTAGGTGCATTGTGCGACTTTTTACGCGCATCGACTTGACAATAAAAAAAGCAAATTAAAGCGTGCATGCGCAGATTAAGCAGCGCAAATGCAGCAGGTGGCAAAGCAGCGGCCAAACATTCAAGTAAACTGTGCTTCAAATGCAAAAAACGTGAAGTGAGTGAGGTTAGGTTGAAAAAGCTTAATTTAAGGTTTCACATTCAACGCAAAGACAAGCAAATTCAAGCGTTTTCAACGCAATTCCACAGGCAAACGAACCAAAAGCTTAAATTAATGCACATGCCTGCTTGTCGCATGGCGCAGCAAGTTGGCGCAAAACCGCTTGCAAGCAGACACTTGCACACTAAAGCTAATGTTATAAAATAAACTGTTTTTGTTTACGCTTTCTTCCTGTATTCGTACACATACGTTGGCCGACTGTGTGCTGTATGGAGAGCGGCTGTCCGATCATAGCCAACGGCTGTTGCGGCGATTGCAGTGTTATCGATTTCTTCGAACGTTTTGGCGGCGGCAACTCGTTGTGTGCGTGATTGGTTAGCAAATGTTTGGATAAATGCTGACGCACTGCGAAAGCTTCATTGCAATTGGCCACCGGACAGGTGAGATACCTAAGCAAAATACGAAAATGTCAATTTATATGCTGTATGCATGACAAAAAAAAAACACACAAAACGCTACGCACCTGCCCTCCAAATGACGCTGCACGTGCTTCTTGAGCAACGTCTCCTGATTGAATGAGCTCGGACAGGTGTCGCATTTGTATTTGAATTCGTCGTGCATCTTCAGATGCTGATCGAGATGTGCCTGCTGCAGGAATTTCTCATCGCATTTGGTGCACTCGTACGGGAAGGCCATGCCGTGCGACTTCATATGTGTGTGCAGCTGTGATTGCTGCTTGAACGTCTTGTCCGGACAGCGTGGACAGTAGTAGCCGGTGATACCGGCGTGCGCCTGCAGATGCTGATTGAGCGAGGTGACTTGTGTGAACTTCTTCGGACATTGATTGCAACAGTATTGCTGTACTTTGTGGTGCGTCTTCATGTGATTGTTCAGATTGGTCACCTGTCAGTGTGTTGGAAAAACCGTTAGTGATTTGAAAAAGTGACACTTTGTGATTTGAAAAAGTGACACTTTGTGATTTGAAAAAGTG